GATAATTTTGGTCCAAAGGGTGCGAACAATAGATATACACAACTCGGAAGACCATTGAATAGTCACTTAATGATGGGATTCTCGGCGGTTGGCGTTCAAGCACTTGAGGTTTGCTGGAAATTACAGTCATATTAATTAATTAATTATTACTAACATATGATAGAGAGATGAGAACATCTTATTGGGCGCTCCGGGATATCGAGACTTTTCGGGAACTGTTATAAGACAGTGGACTGACAATCGAGAAGAACAGTTAGAGTTGGAAAAGTTGCTCGAAGTGGTCGATTCCCGACTCCCGACATTCAATAGTTATTTGGGTTATGCGATAACCACTGGATTTTTCGATGCAAACCTCGAGTATGTAGTGATTGGCGCTCCAAGACATCGACATTTTGATGGAAAGGTCTTCGTGAGCATCAAATCGATATCATTGATGAAATAATGTAATTAACATTAATTTTGAACACAGGTTTTAATACATCCTTTGAGTGATTTTTCCGAAAGGAAACGAAACAGATTTCAGGGGTATTTGATTGAAGTAAACGGCAAACCAGAAGCGAAAGGCGAATATTTCGGGGCATCTCTTTTGGCACTCGATATAAATAACGATAAATTTGATGATCTTATAGTCGGAGCTCCTCTTTATTCCACTAATAGAGATCGAGATATCGGAAGGATTTATGTATTTTTAATGAATGATAAGGTTTTCATTATTTGTTTCTATAAAATTTTTATTATTAATACATATTATAAAATTAATTTGGTTTTTATGTTTATTATAATGAAATATAGGGAACAGAATTCATAAAAGAAGAATTAATTACTGGTCATAAAAGTGGTGGTCGTTTCGGTTCCGCAATGTCTTCAAGTGATATCAATCTCGACGGCTATAGAGGTTTCTTCTATTTGTCAATTTTTAATTTGATTTATTTTTTTCACAATTTATTTATTATATAAAAGATGCTATTATTGGCGCCCCATATGAGAGCAATAGTGATGGATCTATGGGTGCGGTCTATATCTATATGGGTTCAGAATTGGGATTAAATCTTAAATTCCGGGTAAATTTACTTTCAATCACTTTATTTATACTTAAATTTGCTGTAATTTCAGAGAATAGGCGCCGAGAGTATGAAAAATGTTGTTTTGAATGGTTTCGGAATAAGTATAACAAGTAATGTAGACTTTGATGGCA